CAGGGCAGTTTGGGGGGCGAGGGACTGATGCTGCTCTGCTCTCCTTCAGGATGGTCCTCGGATCTGCTCAGCCCTGCACAGGGCGTCGGGGAGACAGTGCCCAGAGCCAGAGTGCCAGAGCCCTCTGCAGCCCCTTGGCCACTGCTGCAGGGTCTGTGGTGAGTGGGGGCATGGCCCTAGTCCTCCTTTCTACCACTCCAGTCCTCTTGCCCTGGTTCCACGGGGGAAAGTTGGGTGCAGGGTGTGCTGCTGGTCATGGGCTGAAGTTTTTGCTGTAGCACTCCCATTGTGCCACCCTCCCAACACATCTCTCTGAAGCATCACCCTGGATTTTGGGAGCCTGTCCTGTGTCACAGCCCTTCATCCCTGCCTCTGGTTTCTCCTGTCAGGATGTCACAGCTTGTCAAGCTAATAGGGCTCTGCTGAGTTTGTGCAGCAGAAAACACTCAGAGGAAAAGCACCTTTTCCAGCATGATGTCAGCTTCCCACAGCCAGCTTGGTTTCATTTCATTCCAAATGGAAACATGCAGACTGACACAGTTCCCTCTGCAATAGGTGCTCCTCCATTAATCTGCCTGAAAGGTTGCTAAGGGGAATTTTCCATGCACAATTGTGCCTGGATACTTGTATCTCATATTTGGTATATCACACTAAAGTCATTAAAATGGCAACATATGTTTCTCCAAAATGCTCCTAAAAGCAGAGCCCCTTACAGCCATTAGGACAAGTTCATATTTCAAGCAATGCTTGCATTTTTTTCCCAAGGGAAATACTTGGCTCCGTGACTGCAGTGCAGTACTTTGGGGAGCACAGAGGTTCCCTCCTCTCTGCCTTCCCTCCAAAGCCAGGGTAGAGCAGCTGAATCACAGCCTTGTGCCCCCAAAACCTGGTACATGCAGAGCTTCCCAGAGGGATACGTGGCAGAAAGCTTTCCAGGGAAAGCTTCTCTACAGAATATGATGGACTCCAAAAGCCTTTCTTCAAGCCCAGTTGACAAAAAGACCAGCAAGGGAGGGAGAGGTTTCTGTCTGAGCCCAGTCAGACCACAGAGGAACCAGAGGTTCTCCAGTGCCTTTCGTGGCAGTCAGAGCTGTGCTGCTGTGTCAGTTCTCTGCCCAGACTCAGTGATAATTTGATATCTGTCTGTTTTGGGCTGCAGGAGCCACCATTAACCTGGATTTCACTCCTGATTTTGACCTGCAGAAGTACCGGGACAGATTGCTCCAAAACTTGATGAACCAGGTACATCCTCCCACTGGATCAGGAGAGAGGCTAACAAACCCACAAATGCTGGTGGGACTGTCTGGGGGGGGCATGTGGTCCCAGTGGCTCAGCCTCACTCCCCACCACCCTGCAGGGAACACCCTCCACATCTCAAATGTGCCAACTAGCTGTGGGGGCTGGTGCAGCCTCCCTTGCTCCCCACCAAGCCATGTTACCCCCCTCAATGCAGGGTGGGAACAGCTGCCAGCATGCAGATGGGGAAGGATGCAGGGGAGTTTGCTGAAAACCCTGATCTAGAAAGCACAGGAGGTCAGATGTAGATAACATGGGAGTGCCTGCAGCTGGGATCATGCAGACCTGCAGCAGGGCATCCCATAGCCTCTGGAAGATAGATCCCAATGCTGGGCTGCTTCTTCATCCCCCAGTAACCAGCACTGCTCAGCACTCAGATGCTCTACAAGGCATCACTTCATGCTGCTGCTTGTCAGACACAGCATGACATCCCTCCTCCTGGCCAGGGACTGCTGTGGAAGGAGGTGTGCTCCGAGTTGCACTGGGAGGATCGATAGCAGAGTATTGCTCTATTGATCCTGAGCTGAAAGCAGGCTGCTCATCCTCCTTACAGCCACACATGTCTTAATACAGCTTTTAATGGGTGTGATACATGAAATTTCTTTCTCAGCATGCTCACATCCGTGGGAGCACACTGCATGCTGAGTGCTGGCCACAGCTTGGGACAGAGGGGGCAGAAGAACCTCTGGTTTGGGAAGTGCAACTCTCTGTTGGTAACAGGGCTGGCAGCTCTGTGATGGGGCTCACATGAAGATTCAGAGGTGGGGCTTGGTGGTGCACCCATCGTGGTTGTCTGGAGAGTTGAATAATTTCTGCCTGCACTCTCACGGGCTCTATGTGTCTCCTTGTGTGTTGAAAAGCCCAAGTATGCTGGTGTGCAGATGGCCATATCCAAGGTGCACAAAGCACAGACCTTCCTGGGCGTCATACCCCGAAGCTCCACTCCTCTCATCCAGATTGTGCTGATGGACGACAGAGCAGGAGAGCAGACTGGCACCGCTGCAGAGCAGCTGGCAGCAGACATCATGCAGGACATAGCACAGCATGGTAACACCACTGTCCTTCTTGGCAGGGCCACCACGGGTGCACCTAGACCCACTGCTGCCCAGAACTTCATAGAATCATAGAATTTTAGGGGTTGGAATGGAGCCTAGAGATCATCCAGTCCCAACCCCTGCCCTGGGCAGGGACACCTCCCACCAGAGCAGGTTGCTCAAGGCTTCATCCAACCTGGCTGTGAACACTGCCAGGGCTGGGGCAGCCACAGCCTCCCTAGGCAACCTGGGACAGTGAACTTGTTCCCTGGCAGCAGCCCACATGTCCAGTAGGGTTTGGATGTCTCTAAGGATGGAGATTCCACGACATGTCTAGGCAACCTGTCCTCACAACCTTTACAGTAAAACAGTTTCTTCTTATATTTAAGTGGAATTCACGATATTTCAGTTTCTGCCTCTTGTCCTGTCACTGGGCACTGCTGAGAAGAGCCTGGCTCAGTGCTACAGCTGTGTCTTGCCAGGGCAGAGCAGTGTGGGTTACATTCCTTGAACTGCTGGCAACCTTCCTCCGCATGCAGCCTGGGATCCTGCTGTGCTTCCATGCCATGTCTGGCCATAGCCAGCTCAGTGTCCTCCAGGACCCCCAGGTCCCTCTCTGCAGGGGAGGCAGAATTGCATTGTGGTGACAGATGCTGATGAGCACATAGGTCACAGCCAGGGGACTTGGTGGTTGTTTTCTGGGTAGCAGACTCACACAGGCTCATCCTCACTGAGTCCACCCAGCTGTATGTCCCATCCCTGTCCCCAGAAAAAGTGCCCAACAAAGCAAGTAGTGCCAGACCCAACTGAAGACTCTCTCTGCCCTGTGTGGGCATGTGGGGATGTGTTGCCCTGTATAATTCTCACCCTTAGTTCTTCCTGCCCTTTCCCAGGTGGAGCACTTGGCATTTCAACTGGCAAAGTGGAGGTGGCCACAGGCAACACTTTCACCAAGCAAGTGGGGAGCCACACACTGAGCAGGATCACAGCAGGGACCATCATGGGGCTACTCTTCGGTCTCCTGTTCCTTGGAGGGATCCTGTTTCTCTACAGAAGAGGAAAGCTAAGGTAAGGATGGGCCTTCTGCCAGCAGCATATTGCCAGGTTGCTTCTGCTCGGAGGCAGCTGTCACCCCAGGCTGTCCTTCCAGCTAGGTCAGTGGCATGGGGCACACAGTGCTGCCTGCAGCTCCCACAGTGGTAGGCATGGCCAGGAAGGTTTGCTATACCCAACATTACTGGTTCACAGAGTCACAGAATGGTTTGGGTTGGAAGAGACCTTAAAGATCACCCAGTTCCAACCCACCCTGCCATGGTCAGGGATGTCTTCCACTAGACCAGGTTGTTCGAAGCCCCATCCAACCTGGATTTGAACACTGCCAGAGATGGAGCATCCACAGCTTCTCTGGGCAACCTGTGACAGGGCCTCACCACCCTCACCACGAAGAATCTCTTCCTTATATCTCCATCTACCCTCTTTCAATTTAAACCCATTGCCCATGTTGTTCTTCATGGTTTATTGGACAGGAGGTGGCTGAAAGGCACTTCTGTACTGTTGGACTGGTACTTCAGCCTCCTCCATGGCTGGGAGGAGTTGCTTCTTGGCATGGTACGGTGTGGTCTGGTGAGAGTGGGAGCTCTGCTGGTCATGGTGCCTGGTGACATGTCCTGTTCCTCGGTGCCCTTAGTTTGCAGCCCTGCTGGGGAGTGGAGGACTGGAACTGCCAGCTGCTAAATAGAAATGCATCAAAATAATGCAAACCACTTGTACCCCAGCTTCATAGCCATGGAAAGGAGTGACAGCATCCAAAAGCAAATGCAGCTTCTGGCACATTAGTTGCTCACACAGCATGGAGTGTGGTGACCAGGTCCCAGGGGAGGGGTGGGAGCCAGCCAGAAATATCCTTTCTCCATCACCTTTCCCCCTCAGAGCTTGGGGGTTGGCTCTGGCAGTGATTAGGGCATCCCAGCAGTGCTCACAGCAGGTGCCTGGGACACCAGTCTCTGCTCCTCCCTCATGCACCCACCTTCATGAGGAGGGTTTTGCAGGGTTTATTGACCACCTGCTGGGCCACTCTGGCTTGTCTCACTTACCCAACTGTGGGCAAGTTGGGTTCACCTTATATATTTTTATAACCAGAGGATGGGACTTGCTTTAATTTGCCTATGCAAAGTGCACCAGTGTGTGCCAGGGGATGCTGAGTTCCCCATTGCTGGGGCTGGCCACGTCCCAGGCTCACAATTCAGGTTGTTTCTTCCCTCCTGGTTCCTCTGCTGGGATGTTCTCACTGTGCGGCAGCAGCCCTGGCCAGGGATTCCTGCCCTGCCGCTTGGCACGTGCTGACATGATATTTCCTAGCAGTAAAACTGTGCCTTCATTTAATTTCTAAATAAAACTCCCAGCCTCATAATTGCTACTTGATGATTTATCTTCCACTGACACTTCTTTGGACACTGGACAGGCCTTTGAAACCAGCTCTGTCAGCAGCAGGAGGGAAGTTCGTGTAGCTACAGGAGACAGAGCTGAACCTTAGCCCAGGGCATGTCCCTGGCTGACCCAATCCTGCTGCATGTCCCTGGGAGGATCCTTTGGGCAGTGCTGTCAAGGCACTGGAGGCATTCAGCACCACCAGGGATGCTGCAAATTAGCCATGAGCCTCTGGGAACCTGCAAGCAGAGTCTGATTCCGTGTAGCTGAGCCATGCTGACCACCAGCAAACCAGGGAATTTAGCTTTTTTCCACCAAAAAGGGCCTGGCACAGCTCCTGAGGGAACATGTGCAGACACACTGCTGAGCCCACCTGCACCAGGTGCCCAGTGCAGGGGAAGATGCTCAGTGTCTAGGACACTTAGGATAAAAGTAATGAAGAAAATAATACAAGTAGTGATGGTGATTAAGATGATAAAATGATAATGTGATAAAAGTAATGATAAAAGTAATTAGTGCTTGTTGAGATTGCAGTGGGAACAAGTGCCAGCTCTGTGGCAATTCGTTGTAGGCCACAGGGATGGCACTGAAGCAAATCCTGTGCTAGAGTTGTCTGCCTCTGCAAATTCTTCTCTCCAGAATGCAGCTCCCAGTCCTCCAGGCTTAATGGATTCTGCTGGATATGGCAGCTACTCCCAGGGAAAGGGTACAAACATCCCACTTCAAAGACAGACTGACACTTTGCCCCTGTATTTTCCCATCCACCTCTTGAAGATGCAGGGCTCTGCCTGGGGGGGAGATGTGAGAGGGGATGGATGTGGGTGGGTGATGCCCAGGTCTCTCCTCAGGTTGCCCATCCTGCGTCTCCCCCACCCCTGGGAGAGAATGGAGGATGATTCAGCAGACCCAGCACCAGCCAGAGACGATGGTTTCGACAACCCCATGTTCAGTGTGGTGAGTCTCCACTCCTGGGGGCCACAGGCCCAAGCCTGGATCCTCTTGAGTGCCTCCACCTGGCAGGGGTGGAGTCCGGGAGGGGTTTGTGGGACAGTGCCATCCTCCCTCAAGTCACCAGTCCCTTGACTGAAACATAGGATCATAGAATTTTAGGGGTTGGAATGGAGCTTAGAGATCATCCAGCCCCAACCCCTGCCCTGGGCAGGGACACCTCCCACCAGAGCAGGTTGCTCAAGGCTCAGCCAACCTGGCTGTGAACACTGCCAGGGTTGGGGCAGCCACAGCCTCCCTGGGCAACCTGGGACAGTGTCTCACCACCCTCACAGAGAAAACTTCTGACTAAGATCTAACCTACATTTCCCCTCCTTTGATTTGTCCCCATTGCCCCTTGTGCTGTCGCTGCAGCTCCTAACACAGATCCCTCTGCAGCTTCCCTGGGGCCCCTTCAGCTCCTGGACGGTGCTCTGAGGTCTCCACACAACCTTCTCTTCTCCAGGCTCAACAGCCCCAACTCCCTCAGCCTGTCCTCATAGGGGAGATGCTCTGTGGCCTCCTCTGGACTTGCTCCAACAGTTCCATGTCCTTCTTACACTGAGGGCACCAACTGCTGCAGGAACTTAGTGCTGGGTGAATTTTACCAAGGTTTTTGCTTCCCTTCACCATTGGTGCTTTTTCTTCCCTCACTGCTACAGGAGCCTCCAGGCACTGTTCCTGGAGGGGAGGGACCACAGGAGATGACTCCCAAAGACCTCCAGGTCTTCTACCTCAACCCTCTGTACGACGCAAGTGAGACGGAGACCTGAAGGCCTCGTGCTGGGGGCAGACAGCATTTCCTTGGGTACACCACCACCTCTCTATCCCTCACAGCCCCTCTCATTTCTCCTGGTGGGATCTAAGCCAGATCCCACCTGAATAAAAGTGAAGGAAACCACAGCAAACCATTGCTGTTGGGATTCAGCCACATGGACATGACCTCCTTGGTGTTACTTCTGGGGTTTAGACTGTATTTGGTAGGTATCAGTTCCTTTTTTGGACAGTTCAGCATTGAGATTTGGGTCTCAGGTGGTGTCTGGAGGAGCTGGGGTCTAGCTCAGCACCCCATGCTTTAGCCAGGACTATGCTGGATTTGCCCAGGGCACACAGCAGGCTGAAGGAAGCATCCCTGAATGCATGATGGAAATCCAGTGCTCAAACACATTTCAAAATGTGTCCTGGAGCCTTCAGGGTTTGGACCCATTAACTGGAAGGTTGTTTTGCTTTCCAGCAGTGTGCTCAGTGCCAGGGGATCTGTGCTCAGGGCCCTCATTCCTCCTCTCACTCCTGTCCCCTGTGCAAGATGCAATCCTGAGCAAACAATTCCCTCTCCATCCCCTGCCTTCAGCTGCTGGAGCTTTCTCCTTCCCTCTGTGCCCGGGCTGACAGGTCTGAGACCTTCTTGGACCCGTGTGGGGATTTATCACGTTATTCCCAGAGGTGAGAAAACACTTTTTCTCATGGTATAAGGGGAAAGAGGTTTGATGCCAGGGAGTCTCTAGGGAGGGATGCAAGCAGGAGCTGGAGGGCTGGGGACAGTCACAGTGACCTGTCTCTGCCAAGTGTTGGGACAGCAGCACTGAGGAGCCTTGTTAGCACTGGTGTTTGTGTCCTGGTGTGTGTCAAACACTCTCAGCTGCCCTCAATGTCAGGCAGAGCTTCATTATGGAGCAGGTCTGATGGGTGAGGCTGAAATTATGGATATGTATGCAAATGTATGCAAATTTACACTCTACTGGGTTTTCAGTAGGGCTTGTTGGCATATTCCATAAGGAAGCAGCTATTTTAAGTTTATTATATTTTGTTCTAGTCTCTGGAAGACATAATCCCTTCTCAAAGGCCTGGGAATTCATCATTAGGTGCATCAGGGCCCTGACGAAGGGTAAGAGACAGCATGTGGTGGTGGGACCAGCTCTGCTGCACCTCTGCCAGCAGAGACCTCTGCAAATGTGAGCAGGCAGGACAAAAACAGGAGCCAAGCAGGGAACAAGGCCATCCCTGTGCTCCTGGTTGCTGTCATGACTTTGGAGGTAGGGCAGAGCTGGGAGTGGGAAGAGGTCTGTGCTTGGGGCACACCCGTGGGATTTCACCATGCCTCTCCTCAGGGTGCACCAGGATGAAAATCAACTTACCCAGGCAGGAGTTTCTGCTGCATTTGCCAGGCACTTGGTGCTGGATGAAATGGTCACCAGCCAGGTCAAAAAGCAGAGGAAGCCACTGGCTGCTGTGGGCAGCAGATGTTGGTGGTAGGTGGTTGGGAATACCCAAGTGCCACAATCCTGTGGTCCTACATGTGTGGGGGAGCAGGGACAGGGACATGTCCGAAAAGCTCACCACACAGCACACAGTCACTCCTGTGATGGAAACCCAAGGAAGACAACCCACCCCAAGGGAGACACCCCTATCCAAGCCCTTGTGCAGACCAGACAAGGCTGGACAGGACCCCGTGCTGGGGCTCTGTGCAGACAGGGTGAGCTCAGTCAGCCCCTGTGCTGCTCACTGGTGAGGAGCTGGCACTGTGTGATGTTACCATGGTGCCTGTGTGAGCACCTGCAGTGTCCACCAGCCTTGCACCACAGCTGGGCCTCGCCGTGAAGGAGGAGGAGGAGGCATTCACCTCCCTACTTTCTGCCTGTGAGAGCCTTTTTCTGTTCTTTTCCTGCTTTCACAGCAGTTCAGTGCAGGTGACTGAATCTCCTCCAGCTCAGAAGCCTTTAAACACACATACACAAGTTATCCTTACCAGGGTTGGGGCCCGTGCAATGCTGTGTGGTGGAGGTTACTGCACCAGGCAACCCCTCACAGCAGTGCTGCCCCATGCCAGGAAGGAGCTCAGGGCCATCACCCTGCAGTGAATTGCTTCCCTCCCTGACTACTTTTGTTTGTGAGAGGTCTCAGTGGCTGCATCTCCGTAAGGTGTGCTGTAGCAGAGAGGCAAGAGCATCCCACGGCCGTGTGCCGGGGAGGGAAAAGACACTGGCCACAGGGACGTGGAGTAGGATGGTATCTTTTCCCTGCAAGCAGCTGAGGACATCAGCTCTGCATTGTGCCTGTGCACACAGGGATTTCAGGGTGAGCCACGGGCAGAGGTGTTTCCATGCAGTGGGACACATCACCGCTGGCACGGAGGGAGTCAGGCCACCCTGTGGGCACAGATCACTGCGTTGGGGGTGTATGGATTTGCTGTTGGCAAAGCTTCATTTTTAAAATGCATTAGCAGCTCGAGGTCACTTACAATAGAGGCTTTAATTAAAGGAGAGATCAATTTTTGTCAGCGCGAGCAGAGCACAGTCTGTACTTTTCCTTCAGGAGCCACGTCCGCTCGCTCGTACAGAACGTGCTGCAGGGAGGGGAGAGCTCTGCAGGAAAAACCAGAGCTCCAGAGCCACGTTGTGATGCCAGGGACCAACAGCTGCAGGAAAACAGCTGTATCCGTGATCATTACCCTTGAGCACTGGCACACATAGCCAACCCACAGTGCAGGCAAAGGGCTTTGGTGCCTAAGCGTCTCCTGCGCTCCTGCCTAACCCAGGAATTTCATTCACAGGCATCTTTGACAAGCAGCACATGGTGGTTTATGGGTGGTTTATGTCACTGAGACTGGGCACCCGATGGCTTTGTTTTGCCCTTTGTCCTGAGAGTCAGTGGGTCCCCCTGCTGTGCGAAGCTAATTCAAAACGCATTAGTCTTAAGGGCAACATCTCAGGAGTCATTGCCTCCTGGGGTCTAAAAAAAAAACAACAAGGAAAAGCAACCTGCACACTATCCACGGACACCAATCCTTAGCACGGCGCCTTCCCTTTGCACGTTCCAGAAGTTGTGCAGAGCTGGAATCAGATTGGCACAGCACTCAAAACACCCATGACAGACTTGGCCCGATGAATTTCTGGTTTAAAACCTTTTTCTGCAGGAGGCAGCAGCAGCGCAAGGCAGAGCGTTTGGCTCAGCAGAGGGCAGGGGCTGGCCAAGGCGCTGCAGGGGAGGGAGAGCTGAGCTCTGTCCATCTCATCTCCGCACTGCTGGTCCCCGTGGGACCGCAGGGCAGGGACTGCGTAAGCAAGGGGAAAGCAGGTGATGCTGAACACGAGCCGAGGGTTTTATCTGTGAGAAAACAACCAATAAAGCCGCATGAAGCTGTGCAGTCAGGTGACAAAAAAAAATGTGCTGCAGCTTATTGGGGAGCAAGGGAAATATTTGCTGCAAGGACAGGGAAGGGGCTGATTCCTGAGTCCATGTTCCTCCTCTGGCTGGAGCACAGCACTGCAGCTCCCGCTGGCTGAGCACGTCCTGCGGTCTCATGCTCCTGTCCTCAGCTAACCCCACCAGCACCGCAGGGGACACTCCACCACCCTCCGGCTTTCCCAGCACCCTGCGCCAGGCGTGCAGCCGATGGCCGGTCTCCCCATCGCCCCATGACCCCAGAAACGTGTTTGAGAGGCTCTGCCAGGGAGCACCGAGATGGTGCTGGCTCTTTCCAACCTTCCCTCCCGTCTTCCCGGTGTGGACCCTGTGCCCAAGGCACCCCTTCCCCTCTCTGGCCCCATACCACAGCTCTCCCCCTGTGGGAATGGGCTGGGAGATAGTGGCAGCAGCCACAGCTGCATCCCTTTCTCCAAAAGCTGCTGCCAAGAAGTGATACTAGGGGAAATTGAGAGGAGAGCCACGTTTTGAGGGGTGCAAACAGATGGGAGGAGGCAGAACAGACCTGCTGCCACAGCAATAGAAGGCAAGGCTGGGCAGGTGAACGTTGCTTTTTGGGTTGTCCTCATCCCTTCACTGCTTCATATAGAGCAGACAGGGTGCAAACTGGAACACAGGATGCTCCAGTAGCCTGGCATTCTTGCATGCCATGTCTCTCTTTGTCCTTTTTAAATAAGCAAAACTCAGTAAGACAAGGTTTTTGGTCATGTCGTGACACCTTTGACTATTACTTTGCTTAACTGCACATCAAGGTGCAGTTCAGTTCCCACAGTTATCTCTTCCCTCAAACACTTTTTCTGCTTCTCAGTGCTTTAGGCTACCAGTGCCAGCTCTTAAGGTTTTCTACATCTGCTTTCTCCCAGGGATGCCCAATCTGGTGCTGTGCAGAGTACCAGGGGTGCCTGCAACTCCAGCACTTCCACACTGAAGTGCCCTCCCCGTGGCTTAGCTGTGTTAAGCACTTACCCTGCCAAGATGGAGTGTTTACACACCCCCTCCAGCACATTGCACCTATTTAGGAAGCTGTTTATTCTCAGTACATCTGTTCTGTAGACAGAGATGGTGGCAGATGAGCTCAGTTCTTGGACAGCAAGTGACACCATGGTGTATTCCAAACTACTCAGCTTCTGGAGGTGAAGATCTGTGCTAGAAGTGACCAACTCGTTCTGGTGAGTGCTACACCCATCACCCCAGCTGTGGGACCTGATGTAATGCCTCTGTGAAAATGGAACGAGCAGAGGAACAGGCAGAGACCAAATTATCCTCATTCCTTGCATAGCTCAATTGCTCACTTTCTTGATCCTAGACTGGTAGCCTCCAGGGATAAGAAAGTGCATTGTCAGAGGATCATTTCACATCCTGCATTTCTGCATTTCTGAAAGTTCTCCTCAGGGCTCAAGAGGACTCTTTAGGACTCAAGGGAACAGATGATTTGCAAAGGGCTGTAGTGGGGGACCTGGGAAGAAATTCTGCTTGGCCAGCCTTGAGGAAGGGGAAAAAAATAGAAAAGTATAATGTATTCATGTGAGCAATTAATTTATTTTTCTAGAAATGTTCTCCTGCTTAAATTATAACCAAGCCCTGGCACTGCTGAGTGCTATGATTTAATACCCCCATAATTAAAAGACTTTGTTGTCATCCCAAGTCCTCACTGTGCAGAGAAAAATCAGCTCAAGAGCAGGAGAAATGTTTTTTAAAAGTCAAAGGCTGATTAGCATGAACACTCGTGAGGAGGCTTCCGGCACACAGCCCTCAAACCTGTCAGCTATCCCCACCCCAGGGCAGAGTGTGCACTTTCCTGTGCCAACCCTTCCCAGCCTGCCCAGGTGGTTGTGCCAGGCAAGGAACAGCAGGGTCCAAAACACTCACCTAGGCCTTCCCTGTTCAGGGTGAGACAAAGCAAGAAGCAGTTCAGGAACACCTGGCACTCCATAAGGGATGAAGGATGCTTATCCAGCACACATTAAGGAAGACGTTGGCTCTGTTCTAGCTAGAGTGGGCTCAAATGCAGGCTCCTTACTATGCTTCAGCTGTAAGGTAACAGTCACATAAATAACTTAAAAATAATAGAATTTTAAGGGTTGGAATGGACATTAGAGATCATCCAGCCCCAACCCCTGCCCTGGGCAGGGACACCTCCCACCAGAGCAGGTTGCTCAAGGCTCAGCCAACCTGGCTGTGAACACTGCCAGGGTTGGGCCAGCCACAGCCTCCCTGGGCAACCTGGGACAGGGTCTCCCCACCCTCACAGGGAAAACTTCTGCCTAAGATCTAACCTACATTTCCCCTCCTTCGATTTGTGCCCATTGCCCCTTGTCCTGTCCCTGCAGCTCCTAACACAGATCCCTCTGCAGCTTCCCTGGAGCCCCTTCAGCTCCTGGAAGGTGCTCTGAGGTCTCCACACAACCTTCTCTTCTCCAGGCTGAACAGCCCCAACTCCCTCAGCCTGTCCTCACAGGGGAGATGCTCCAGTGCTCTTAGCAACTTTGTGGCCTCCTCTGGACTTGCTCCAACAGTTCCATGTCCTTCTTAAGCTGAGGACACCAGAACTGTGTGCAGTATTCCAGGTGGGTCTCAGCAGAGCAGAGCAGACGGGGAGAATCACCTCCTCTGACCTGCAGCCACACTCCAAATGAACCAATCGACTCAGTGAAATGGCAACTCTAAAACAAACTGATGGTGCAAAATTTCAGCACTGTATTCCACCAAAAGGAATTCCATGACTCCTGAACATGCATTTACCCACAGCAACACACACCTTTCTCCTAGAATTCAGGTATGGAGCTTCCAAGGATCCTTCAGTTTGTGTAGAGCATCCACGTGAACAAAGTGACTTTACCATGAGGCTGTAGCAAGGTGTCGGGGGTAGATGTGTTTCAGATGTCAAGACAGACAACTATGAACTTTAAAACCTCCCTCTTCTGCTTTATTGACAGGTAAATTGTTCAAAAATGTTCTCACAATTCAATAATTACAAAGACTTAGACTTACATTAAAAAAGTAAAAACCAGAAAACCCCCAAAGCAGTAGTGTCCAGCTCTAACTGAGCCCCTTTATCAAGGATCTGAGAAAAAAGAGCAAGTACTGTCGAACACTTAAACGTAACAGGATTAAATGTTGACTAGAACACTCAGTTTAAACTAAAGATAAGTGCATGTCCTATACAGTGTTTCAGAAAAGAACATTAGCCATTGGTATATCATTAGCCCATTTAAACCAAATTTTAAATAAGTGACATCCAACTGTCATAAAATTGGCACAGAAGGCACACTAGTGTGACAATTGACAAACTGGATATGCCAGCCACAGAATTAATTACAAGCTTTTTAATGAAACATGGTCACAAATCTTTTGATTACTAAATGTATAATACATGGAAGCATGAGATTAAATATACAGGCAAAACATCACCGCACGTGGGTCATCGCAAAATATACAGGAGTGTGTTGTGCATTTTTCTACATGATCAATACTCAATTACTAATCATGGGGTCTTCATGCAGGTGAGGCTACAATGAATGAGAAAAGCAGCACCCCCAGTGACACATCCTTCACGTTCCACTTTGGTAGCCAATCAAACACATGATGGTGTAGTGTGATATAGTCCCTCAGGTCAAGCAGACTTGGAGGGCAACGAGTCCACGAGGTTTGCTAGCTAAAACAGTGTAGTGTGTCCTTACACCAAAAAAACCAGGAGAAACAACTTCTCAGGAGGAGACAGGCAGGAATTAGAAGTAAATTTTTTTTTCCTCACAGCAGTAATTACCAGTATTTTAAAAGCCCTGACTAATGACTGATTGATGAGGACTAAAAAGCAGGGAATGGGGTAAAAGAGAACTGGCAGTAGTCCTATGCACAAGACTAAAAAGTTGGTAGAAAGGTAGAAAGAGTTATGTAGCTGTGTATGTAATGGCTAAATGAATTTAAAGGCCACAAAACTATAACCAACTTTTCTCTCACTTCCTGGCGATTCTATTGATGTTGGGAACGACCTACAGCTTCCTAGCATTCTGTTTAAGGTTTAGGAAACAGTTATGGGAAAAAGGGAAGAGTGTATTCATCTGAGGATGTAACTAGACCTGCTCACATTTCCTACTCAGAGGTCCAAATTCTGTCTAAAAGGATTTCCTGCTAATCAGACATTACATCATTCTATAGAAAAATAATATTCCTGATATCGTAGCAACATTATCAGTCTCTCTCTCTATTTCTCTTTCACCATAAGAATAAGACTATTTACTGGTGGCCTTAAATGCTCCTATGCAATAAAACTGTGTCACAGCTGTGCAGAAAGGAATCAAACCGTAACAGAGCGGCGAACAATTCTGCAGAAAAAGCTCCATCACTATCAGTAAAGGATTTTCTTCATTTCAACAGTTGTATCTACAGTCTGGATATATAATTATTCTTGTACAACACTAGAGACTCAGTGTCAGTCTTGGCACTAGCATTATGAGACAGCCTTGCCCTGCTCTGGAGTACAGGGAGCAGTGGGTGATGAAGTCGGAATGATGCGAGCGACAGTTATGCGTCACAGGTTGACTGGTCCAGTCCATCTAGCGTTAGCTGATTCCTATGTGGAGAGTTGGGGCTTGGGGGACCACTTGGATTTGAGCTGTTGGATGGAGTAGAGTGTTTGGTGGAGTCTGAATCAGGCTGTTAATGAGAAAGGTTAAAAAAATTACGTTTACTTAAAGCAAATTCTTTACACTCAAAAGCTTTCAAAGGCACTCAGAAACAAGGGTGAGCAACACCTTCAGAGCAGAGTGCAACAGATTCATTCCACAGCTAAACAATCATGCAAATACTTCTACTATCATCAAGAGGCTGCAGTGCAGTGTTCTGAGGGAACAGGAATTATGGCATGTGCATGCCATAATGCCAAAATACAAGTATGTGGAAGTGGCTGCATCTCAGACTCCTTTAGCCAACACAAGGCTGTCCTGATGGAATCATAGAATCAACCAGGTTGGAAGACACCTCCAAGATCATCAAGTCCAACCCTACTGTGGTCACTAGACCATGGCACTAAGTGCCACATCCAGTCTCAGCTTGAAAACCTCCAGGGATGGTGAATCCACCACCTCCCTGGGCAGCACATTCCAATGCCTGATCACTCTTTCTGTAAAAAATCTCTTCCTAATATCCAACCTAAACCTCCCATGGCAGAACTTGGGAATGCATCTACCTGTTCCCCATTGCTCTCAGTTTACCAGACTGAAATTTTTAGGCCATTTTTATAGCCCGAGAGTAGGTTTATCTGCCCATATAAACATGTAGTTATGGTCAAATCATCTTCAGTTTGGTGAGAAGGAAGGAAACAACTATATCAACTGTTTACAAAACAGCAACAAGCATGTAGAGTGCCTGACAAAGGAGAGAAGGCTGTCAAGTATCAGGCTAGAGATCTGGAAAAAGAATACACTTACTGGAGACACCCTAGACCAACATCTAATAAAGACTATCCACAGCTATTCCCTCAGTGTTAGATTAGCTGTTGGATATGTGCCTTCACAGGCTGGTCTCACTTCAACAGGAGGGCTGGCAAGCTTCCCACTATTTTGGTGAGTTGCAACTCTGAGCACTGCACATGTTCACAGCTGATCAAATGCTGTGCAGGAGAAACTGGTACCAAAGCAGCAAGTTATTTTCAAGAAAGAGCAATATATATTTAGCAAATAGGTTAAAAGGTAACATTGCTCGAGAATGTTGTGCACAAGATTTTGCATGGCTCAAACAATAATAAGATCATCTATAACAAGATTATCCTAACATGATCCAGTTCATGCTGAGATAAAGCCAAAAGCCACGGGGAAAAGAGTGTAAAGCCAATAGGTGTTAGACACTTCTTTCCAGTTTCAAACTACTATTCCTTGAAATTTAAGAAGTGACAAGAAATTGTAAGATCACAGAATCATAGAATCAACTGGGTTGGAAAAGACCTCCAAGATCATCAAGTCTTAGTTCCAGCAGTGACAGGTTAATGGTTGGACTTGATGATCTTAGAGGTCTCCTCCAACCTTGATAATTCTATGATTCTATACCACTGCACCCTGCAAAGGTTTGGCTTCAAAATCCAGAACCTCACACAGCCCTGCAGTTGGGTACCAAATAGTGCTGAAAAGACACGAAGATCTTGATCTAGGAGTTGCCTACCAGGAATAATTCCTAACACTTTTCTTGCACAGGTAGTGCTTGAGCAAAGCTTGGAAGAAGCTACAGATATGATAATTTCAGGAAATAAAAATCATATATCTTCTCTCCTCATTTTCAGGGACACCAGTTTTGCACAGCCAGGATGTTTTCAGTTTGGTGACATGCTCTTACTCTTGCTAAGAGCAGTTTTATGTTATTTTAAAATATGATTCCTTCTCAAGTTGCATGACAAAAAGTCTTCCTTAAAGCAGCACAGAAAACTACTTAACTAGTCATATTACTTTGCTATTCTATGCTAATAGCCCAGAGAACATTTTTAGGAGCTTTGAGGACATTTCATCAATTAGTCAAATTTCCCTTGCCTCTAAAGCTTAATCCAAGACATAATATTTCTTAAAATATCACCATAAAAAGATCTTTTCACAGCTTTGACGTTTCTAACTCATAAACATACATTACAGGCTGGAAAAAAACCATTTGTGGAAGGAAAACACCTCCATGAAGAACACTGTCTTTATAAAAGACTTCCTTGGAAAAGTAATTTATTGGAAAAATCTACGACAACAGGATATTGTTGGTCCTCATTTAACAAAAGCTGCTTTACCTCTTTGTCAAACTCCTGGTCAGGGTCGGACATACTCCGGGAGGGCAGAGTTGCTCCCACATCACTGCCACCTGGGAAGAAGGAAGGAGAGAGGGCAGGTTTACACCTCTGGTTGATGCCACAGATGACAGCTCAGAACTGCCCAGTTTGCTTCCAGCCTTACTTGAGGAGGGCCATGAGATGTAGGTTTTGTTTCTCTGCTGCTGCTGCCGCGAGAGGTTAGCTGTGGAGGGACAGGTTTTTTCATCCTGTGCAGGAGGTAGGACGCTCTACAGTTGAAAGGAAAGCATCTTATTAGCCAGCAACAAAAGCTATCTGACTGCAAGTTGTTACTCAGGAAAACTTTACTGTGCTTTTGAAGGTATTACAACCCAGTGTTGGTAGAAAAACTGAACTTACTTGACCACATCCACATATTTTCAGTAACAGACACAAACCCTGAGAAAGACAGAGAAAGAACTAAGCCCCATAGCAGCCACTGGAACCTGTCAGCCAGCAAACTCTCTATGAAGGGGCAGGGACTGCAGCAACAGCTCTGCTTTCCTTCC